ACTGAAGAAGGGTTGCAAGATCTTCCAGGCCAGTCCTCCCAAAATCTTTGGTCTCTGCCCTAATGTTTGTAACAGCAGACTGAGCAGAGTGCTCTGCACAGTGCAAGTCAGTTAACATCTGTCCCCTGTGATTATCACTGGTGTCCCATGAAGACTACTAATCTTTTTCCTAAGGGGAAAAATGCAAACCAGTAATTCAGTGTGACAACCTCATCAAAATGATAAAATGAATTATAGCTTTGAAACTTTATGCAGTGACTGTTTTTAATAACATGGGAGTTAGAAAATAATGTTAAAAGCTTCAACTCAAAGACCTGGTTTCCTGTGCTGGCACCAATCCTAACACTAAATGTTAACACATTAAGCATTCTTACATCTTCATTTTAAGAGCAATTAGGAGACAGATATACTCACACTGAAATAACATCCCGTTCCTGTGTGTGTGAACACAGACAGAGTGCACTTCTGACAGAAACCCACTGTGCTTTCCCTGTGTCCTTAAGGACCTCTCCATTTGCACAAGTTCACTGAATTGTCAACTAGACTGCAGCAGATTTTTCAGCCTACAGACACAGCTCAACCAAACATATCTACAAGGTGGCATTAAAAAGGAACACCTACTCTTGTCCTGTGTTCCTCAGCCTACCAAGCACATCTCCAAGGTCAGAAGCTCACAGCAGAATGTAGCAAAAGCACTGGCTGTAGGAATTAGACCATTAATTTCCCTGAACAGCTTTAACTATCTGAGAATACACTTCAGATGGAGAACAAGTTACATTACTCTAAACATGTTCACCATGGATTAAGCTAAGGCAGGCCAGACTTGGCTGGCTAAGAACACAAAGCTCCAGACCTCAGCTGATGAGCAAGAACTCTTATTGTAACTCACTGCAACTCAGTCACCCCTATCCCGGAATAGTCTCCAGGTCGCTGCAACTGAACTATCCTAACTGCAAACTCAGATTATCAGCAGCAGCTCCAAACAGGAAGGCATCCCTGCACAAGAGGGAGGGTTGGCCATGAAGCGCCAATGTGGTAGCTTATCCCTATCCCTACAGTTTGTAGTAGTGTTGACTTCAGAAAGTTCAAATGCTAATGGAGAACACATCTTTCAGGCTCAGTGAATAAAAAGTTTCTAGCAAAATCTGACAGCTGTTCAAAGCCTACATGAATGAAGAGAGGATTTAATCTGAAGCTCCATAAGCAAGCATCCCCATTGCTCAAATCAGTCTTTAAACTTCTGCACAATGAAACTTCAAGGACCAGGAAAAAAGTAGCTACGGAGAGAGAGGAATTTCCACCATGGCCCCTCTCTACCAGGCCAGAGCCCTAGAGCAGCATAGGAGACCAGGATTTATGGAATCTGCACAGGACCTCATAAGTGGGCAGGACTTCTCCTCCATGACATTTAACTTGACATAGCACACCAGCATGAAACATTTCTACATGAAAAAAAAAAAGCAACAAACAGGAAAATATTTTGCAGTCAAATAAGGGGTGAAAATTATGAGTTCTAACTCTCAGATGATGCATGTACACCCAAAAAGCATCCAAAACTCTTGCCAAAATGGGGAATTTCAGGTCTTGTAGGGTGTGACTCTCCAAGGTTTGGCAAAGCCACTTATAACCTCACCAAAGTTCAATTTGACTAAGAATGTTTACAAGCACAAAAACTAGGCCAAATTGAGAATGTAAATATTTGGATTCAGTTCCCCAAACTTGTCTCTATCTAGACTGCCAACTAAATCCCAACTGCAGACCAAAAAATCTGAAAAGCAACAGTTGCACACACTTTACAGCACACAGACAAAACTAACTACATGGCACTTAGCAACAGGGGAAAAAAAGAAAAGGAAAAAAAAAAAGGAAAAACCCCAAATTCGTAATCTAAACTAAACTTATTCTAAACAAGACATCAAGGAAGTTTGGACCAAAAATCAACTCTGCTATCATTTCATACATTTTGAAAGTCTGATCAGTCCAGATGTTGGTCCTCTGCCCTGCAGGAGACTGGGTTACATTAAACATAGATAGATTACTCAAGACATCATAGACAACATGATGTTTGTAGCACACAGTGATAACATTGACCTAAACCACATTCTCTTAATCCATCCAAAGCAAGGACTTCCATTTTTCAGGCAGATGAATTGAGGACAGACTTCATGGAATCACTGTAATTTATTTGGCAACCTCAATCCCATATTCAGAAGTGATTTAGGAGCCCAGATGACCTGGAGTTCTCAACACACATGATCTTCTCTAATTTTACCCCTGTTCTTTTAGGTATAGATAAGAATGGCAACCATGGATTCATTTTTAAGGAACTTTTGATCTCCCACAAACACAGATCCCAAGGGATACACCATATTCTTAGCTGCAAGTTCCCAGTCCCTCTTTGGAAGTGTTAAATGCCTTTCAGTCCTACATCTCCATTGCAGATACTCACTGGAGGAAATCAGAGGTGAGGGTGTCATTAAGATCAGCATTTTTGTTGTTGCAGTTGTTGTATGATAAGAACTTGGGCATCCTTACTCCCACTACAGTAAACTAACAAAAAAATCCATCCTTTCTCTCTTCAGTTAGGCAGGAAAAGCACGAATCTGGTTCTTTTACTTTACTCAGCTGTGGGAAACTTGGGTTTACTTTCCAGTTAAAAGCAGGCTCTTCAGTGTACTTCACAGTGACCTCTTCACAAGGGGCTTGTATCATTTCTTTAAATGACCCTACACTAAAAATAGTCCTGCTTCCTAAAAATGAATGTTTAGCAGTTCCAGGCATTCTGAGATCCTGCATACCACTTTAATTTTTTTTTTAACTGGCAACACTTGTTTAACCAGCAATTAAAAAAAAGGAGGCCCAGCCGCCCCAGTGATTCTTCCCAGAGGGTCTTAGATGTTTATGAAACACAATGAAAACAATAAAGTGGATAAAATCATGCTATTCCATCAAGTCCTTGGCAAGACTTCCCAACCAAGAATAAATTGGCATGGTATGTTACAGTCAATAGATTACACAATGGTTTACAGGGTCACCAATAATAAGGGGGTCACTCTCTCCTTGAAGAGCTACAGTGTACATTAAGGCACTTGCTTAAAGGGAAAGAGCAATGCTTGATCCTGAGCTTCTTGGAGCACATCCTGGCAGCCGCAGCACAAACATGCTGCAGGGGTAGGAGAGGACAGAAAGCACCTCTCCCCCTGCCCTGAGCCAGGAAGGGCAGTGACTACGCTGCACAAGCTGGCTGGGGGAGTTTAGCACCCTGAAGGGAGCAGCAGAAAGCCAGGCCAGGCAAGGGCTCTCATTTCTGCACACAAGAGGAGAACACATGCTACATCTTTTTAGGAGCAGGACAGTCTCCATGCCCCAGTGAGGCCCAGCACCACCATCCCTGTCAACCCTTCCCAAAAGCCCCTTTCCTCACTCCATACTCTTGAGGAAACTGGTTCCACCCCAGAAGCACGGTATCAGTTCCATGTCAGTCTAGGCACTCTTAACAGTGGACAGACTGTAGCTAATGTTAAAAGGTGCTTTACTATATTCCTGGATAACTTTATCAAGTCATCACATTGCTATAAATGTGTTGCAGTTTTATTTTAAATAACTAATCTTAAAGAAAGAAGGAAATGAATGGTCAAACCCATAAATCTTACTCTTAAATGTCAAGTTGGTAACAGATTTCCACTATGTCACCTGCATAACCTGATCACCACAATGAAAGTTAAATTTTGGTGCTTCTAAAACATAAATGATTTCCTCAAATCTCACCTTGAATGCGTGATGCTCCTACCTTTGCCCTGTTAACTTACCCTTCCACTATATGGAAATTTTCATCCACCAACTATAAATCATGTATAAACAAAACATTATTAAGTCATAAAGGTAAATCAACCTCACTTCAATTCATCTTATCATGAAAAACAAGACAAAACCTAAGTTTCATCCTTCATCTTCCATGGGTTTTGATCACTCCAGTTTTATTGGATTATTTAATGCACGTCTAAAGTCTGGCTAGCCAGCATAAAAATGAAAGAAAACCTATTCCCCAAGTCAGCACAGGGTGTAGAAAACACTACTACTGACATACTCCATGCAGTAATACTATGAACCCAGCTTCATTCAGCTCGACTACTAAATTTGAAGTACATTCGGGTGATAAAACTGGAGTAAACACAAGAAGGCTCTCTCCTATGCAACTGCTACTCTTTGATTGCAGTGACCTTAGTAACGCAAACGTTTGGTACCGAGCCAAGAGCAGGACATCTGATTTTCCCACCAAGTGAACTGCTGCAGAACTCCCTTAGCTCTTCAGCCAAATCTGTCCTGGGATCCTAAAGTCTTCCGCCGGAGTCCAGGTGGCTCCTCTACACTTTTCAGCACGCACACAAACACCGCAGCCGGCTGGACCGACGATGCGAACGGGCACTGAAAGGGAAGAGAAGTGCCGCAGCTCCCCGTCTCCCCCAGCTCAGAGCCCCACGCTGGGCGCGCTGGATCGCCAGCCGGGCTGGAGTTACCCCGGTCTGGCCGAAGTGGTCCCTCGGGCTCTGTCCCTCTGGGGGCTCTGTCCCTCTGGGGGCTCTGTCCCTCTGCGGTGCCTCTGCCCTCGCTACCCACGCAGAAAGCAGCGTCCCGCGAGGCACGGCGGTGGCACCAGCGCGGGAGCACCGAGTCCCCTCTCCACCCGTGCTAAAGGAACCCCCGCCCCTCTGCGCTCCCCCAGGGCAGAGCAGGGTCCCGCAAGGATCGCGGGGCCGGTCCGCACCGGCACGGCCTCCGGCGGCTCCGCTGCCGCGGGGGCTCCGCGGTCCGGGAACCGCAGCGCCCGGCGAGCCCCCGCCGCCGCCGCGCATCCCCGGCCCGCCCCGCTCGCGGGAGACTCTCGGTGCTCAGGGACGGCCACCCGGAGCACGAGCGATCGTTTCTCCCCCCAGTCCCACTCCCCTGCCCGGGTCCCCGGAGGCGATCACCGCTCGGCAGCACTGCTCCCCGGCCCTTACCGAGGTGCGCGGGGATGCGCTCCCTCCGCCGGCCGCCTGCAGCCCCCGTCCCGCAGCCCGGGTGATCGTAGCTTTTTTGGAGAAGCTGGGAAGAGGGAAAGAAAGGGGGGAGGGAAAGGGGTGGGAAGGGACTGAAATCGAGGGAGAGAGAAGTATGCAAAGGCAGGAAGTGGAGACGGCCACGACCAGTGCGGGAGATTAATGGGAACCAGTCACCCGGCAGCCAACAAAGAAACCTGCTCCCCCAGCGCAGCTCAACCCGGCCCGGGCTGCAGCCCCGGGCTGCCCAGCCACCGCTCCCGCCGGCAGCGCTCGGCCCCGGTCCGGCGGAGGGGCGGGCGCCGCCCCCCAGCCCCAAACCCGGGTCCCCGACCGGGGAGGGAGGCGGGAGGGAGCGGAGCAGCCGGGCAGGGCCGGCCGGTCCGCGGGGAGATGCGACGGGCACAGGAGGAGGAGGAGGGGAGAACTGAGCCTCGCGACTGACAGCCTTCCTCCTCGCTCTCCCCCAGAGGGGCGGTATCGCTTTGGTTTTTATTTAAAACACTACAAGCGCTGGGCTCCTCTCGGCGCGGAGCCGCTTGCGGGGCAGAGCGGAAGGAAGGAGGAGTGCGGGAGGCGCTTCCTGCGCCAGGCGTGGGGCAGATGGCTCCGCTCCCATCAGGGAGCTGCGAACCACGGAGCTCCCGGGCCTTTCCGAGCTCCGCGGGGTACCTCGCTCTAACAGCACCTGTGGAGGGCGAGGAAGGCAGCGGTGTGCCTCTGAACTTCATGCCGGCTGCCTCGGTTCCGATCCAGCCCCCCGGGAGCAGCTCCTGGCAGCCGTGTGGAATGCTCTGCTCCCTGGGCAGCGCAGCTCGAGGTGTCCCCGCTCTCTGGCACGGCCCAGCCAGGGCCCCCCAGGGCATCGTGCGAACCGGGGCTGAAGAAAGTCCCTGCATGGCACATTGGCTACCAGGCCACCAACAGCATTGTGCGGACAACCTCCTGGGCACACGTGTCCACGGCTTCTGATGGTTTGGCAGATGAGAAACCCACCCAAAACGTTTGATATAAAATAATACAAAAGAGGCAAGGATGCTAGCTCTTAGCAGGGCCACGAGTATTGCAAAATACAGACTCTGCTCCTAGATCTTGAAGTATTATGTAAGCATTGATAAAACAAGTCACTTCACAATAAATTAACCAAATTATATTAGGTACAGAAGAAAAATTAAGAGCAGCATGTACTCTGCAATTTAAAATACAAATTCCAGCACGACACCTTTCTGGAACTTTTAGACTGACTTTCTTTCCTTTGACTGAAATGGAAGCAAAATAGTGTTCAGCATGAGGCAAATGCTTACGAGCTCTCCTACTCAAGGATACTTCCCTGAGCCCAGAACCAAGTGCTCAGGATAAACTATTGTTGGCCTTTGCCACCTCACCAGCAAAATGAAATACATTGTCCTCAGATATTCTGATCTATCATCCCACACAACAAGGAATCTGGTGGAAATGCCCAGCATTTCACAAACTTCGCTTATATTTCAAAAGAATGAATGTACAGGAAATAAGGGTAACTGTCATCTGGATTCTGATGTGAATGTGTGTTTCAAAGCAAAAGCTATTTCAGCTGTCAACCTTCTTGGGACAGATGTATTTACTCAGCTGCAAAAGGAGTACTGTGTCACCAAACATCAAAAAATAGTGGGAGTTTAAATTTCAACACAGCACGAATAATTTACCTACTGAGCAACAAGCTACTGCTACAAGTACCTGACAGGAATAAAAAATGAACACAGTTTTCTCTCCGTGTTATGAAAACGACATAGGAGGGCCTTTCCAAGTCTATTTCACAAGCGCGGCAACATAGCAAACCCACTCACCTCTCCAGGAGACCATTGCTAACAAGGCACGATGCCAAGATGTTCAACTTCCAATTAAGCAGGAAGCAGTCTGTTCTGGCTGCTTCTCCACCACATCAAACACACTAACTCTGCTTTTATCAAATATTATTTTTCTCCCCCTTTATGTTGCATTCAGTTCTCCAGACCTCAAGCGCTCCAGCAACTTGCCTAAATTTTCTTGTGAGTGCAGGAGACCAAACTTAAAGTTAAGCTGGATTTCAACACTGAATGGGGGCTTTCAATGTCTTAACGAGCAGGCAGCCTGTGAAGGACTTGTTTATTGTGGGGACTGGCTGCTGCTCTGCTTAAGCAACTGGGAGATGACAATAAAATGTAAACTAGGAGAGGGTTATTTTTCTTGCTTGTCAAAGAGATTACAGCTAGCAAAGCTCTCAACAACAATGAAGGACTTGAAGGATCAGGGCCTCCATGTTAACCTTGGCCATATGAGACTTAAAGGAAGTTTTTGTTCTTATTTTCCCTTCCTACCGTCACCTCGGTGCACACGAGGTTAGCGAAGGCTCAAAGTGGCTCTACTCCCACGCAGCCACAGCCACTTCCCAAGCCATTCCGGTGACTCCGAGCGGTGACCGTAGCCTGGCTACTGGTCCCTCCCGGGACAGTCCCAGCTCCCACGGAGAGAACCGGCTTGTTTGGCGAACGCTGCTGGCAGGGTCCCGAGTGGTTCTCCCACCGCCCCAGGGCTTTCCCTGGCGGAGCGGGTGCCGCGGGTGTGCAGCTCTGCCCTCTGACCCGCACCCGCGCCGCTCGGCCGGACATCGCCACCTGCTGTCGCTGCCAGCTCGTACCGCAAAACTTCAACGAAAAGGGAGCGGGGAGCACCGCTTCCCACTAGGGACCAAGGGGCACGGCGGGGCTCGGCACCTCCGGCTTCTATGGGCTCGTCCCCGCTGTAGCGCAGAGGCGACATCCGGGGAGCAGCATCTGGGGGCACCTCACTGACCCTTTCAGGGAAAGCCTGTCCGGACGAGTCTTTCCCGCGTTACGGAAGGGCAGGGCGCGGGTGTAAGGGACGAACAAAGCCCCCGGAGCCCAAGGCGGGGCCGCATCCTGGCGAGAGCTGCACCGGTGCCCCCAGCCGGGCCGGGCGGGGCCGGAGCGGGCTGAGGGTGGGGCGGGGCCGGGCAGGGCCGGGCAGGAGCGGGCTGAGGGTGGGGCGGAGCCGGGCAGGGCCGGGCCGGAGCGGGCTGAGGGTGGGGCCGGGCCGGGCCGGGCCGGGCCGGGCTGGGTTGAGGGTGGGCCGGGGCGGGGCGGGGCGGGGCGCATGCGCAGTGCGGCGGCAGCGGCGGCAAAGGCGGGATGGAGGCGGCTCGCGACGTGCTGGAGCGGGCGCGGCGGCGCGCGGCGGGCGCGGCCCCGGTCAGTGGCGCGCACGCAGCCGCGGGCACACGCACAGACAGAGATACAGACCCACAGACACACGGAGATACACATCCATGGATACACAGAGATACGAACGGCCCGCGGCCTGCCCGGACACACCGCCGAGCTCGGCTGCCCGCCCCGCCCCGGTGCCCCCGAGACAGCCCCGAGGGCTCTGCGGCTCGGTGCCGCCACCCGCGGGCTCTGAGCGACGGGCGGCACGCTCCGTGACCAGGAACGTCTCTCGTTGCAGGACGAAGAGCGGGAGCGCCTGAATGCAGCGTTCGCTTCGACTGTGAAGCTGATGAGAGGAGTCTCAAAGGAATGCCAGGTGAGGGGTCACCCCCGGGCCCGTCCAAAGGGGAATGGTCGTGATGTGCTCGGCACAGATTTTAGCAGGTTTCTCCATTTGTCGGTGGAAGGGCAGTATGGTTAGAGGGACAGAAATGTCAGGTGACATCACAAAATACATTGTGTCACAAGGTATGGAATGTTTCCAGTGCTCCAAAGTATCTCTGCTGGGAAGCGGCCTGAACACATGGTAACCTTTTGTTGTCCTCAGGGGAACGTGAGCCACTCATGCTGGCTGCTGTCCTGTTCCAGGTGGTGGAAGTAAGGGAGAGTTTGAATCTTGACTGAAGAGTTGCTTTGTGTCCTGAGTTTGTTTTGAATTTAAACTCCTCTCCCCCCAGCAGTGCTGCTGTTGTGATTTAACCCCACCATCAACTAAGTACCATACAGCTCACTGCCTCCGTGCCCACCTCCCCTGGCCTCCCCAAGGATGGGGAGGAGAGTCTGGAGAAAATAAAACTCGTGGGTTGAGACAAGAACAGTTTATTAATTGAAACAAAGTAAAATAAGACAATACCAATGATAATAACAGTAATAATTGTGGTGGAAAAGGGAGAGAGAATTAAAACCCAAGAAGAACAAGTAATGCACACTACAGTTGCTCACCACCCACTGACCAGTGCCCAGCCAGTCCCCAAACAGCATTCAGCCCCTCAGACAACTCTTCCTGTTTATATCCACGACATTCTATGGTATGGAATTTCCTTCTGGCTAGTTTGGGTCAGTTGTCACAGCCCTGCTCACTCACAGCTTTTTGTGCACCTCCCCACTGGCAGAGCATGAGAAAAGTCCTTGACTTAGAGTGAGCACTACTCCACAATAACCAAAACATCAGTTTGTTATCAACACTATACTCATACTAAATCCAAAACACAGCACCATGCCAGTTACTAGGAGGAAAACTTCCTCCCAGACAAACCAGGTCAAACTGGATTTGGGAAGTTGCTACTGGGTAAGGAGAATGGGTTCAGTTCTTTGTTTGGGATGAGCAGAAATTGAGAGGTTCAGTGCCCAGACGCACAGGTCACTGTTCTCATGCTGGCTCTGGCAGGTGTCAGTGCTCTGCTGCTCAGACTGGGAGCCAGCCTCTGCCAGCCCATCCTTGTGAGCACAGCCCTGCAGCCCAGCTACTGTACTGATGTCTGAGGATTCCATAGCAGTTTGTGCCCCTCGGGATCTGTTATCGTACCACAGCAGGGAGCTCACTGCCTGCAGGGCTAATACAGAGCCTAAGTCTGCAATTAAATTAGAGAAAACAGTACTTCAGCACACCAAGCAATTAGCTCCTAAGCAACTCCTTTGTAATTTCAAAGTAACCAGTTAATCCTAAAACAACTAGGGCAGAATAGAGTTTTACACAAGATGAAACAAAGGAGACTCATCCTTATCAGTGACTTGGCAGTGCTAAATTTACAGCTGGACTCTGATCTAAGGGTATTTTCCAACCTAAATTATTCTTTGGGTCTATCTTGTGCCCTGTTAAGAGTATTAAAGTTGGAACAAGCAGTGGATGACTTCCACATTTATGCATCAGCCAAGACAGTACTGCTTCAGTCATTTCTGTAGAGAAGAGTCATAAAAGGGGGGAGCTGTCAGACCCATAAGTTCATGGGTAAAGTTTACAAAGTGCAAATAAAAATCCACAGCTGGACACAACAATTTAGGCACTTGAATGCAAATAATTAAACTTGTTGTTTAAGATGAGATGTTTGGGGCTACTAAGGCATCAAAATTTACCCATTACTCACCAAAAGTTGGATTTCATTTCTTTGCTCTGTGCCATCATGTAAAAGAGATGCTTTGTGAAGCATTATGCACCAGGTCAGAGCATTTGATATATTTTGTAGCTTCACAAAAACTGCAATATGAGCAAGCAGATCTGTTGATTTGTGCATAAGCTCAAGGAATAAAGCACAGCAGCAAATTTGGAAATAAGAATTGCTATTTGCCTTATTTTTGTTACATTTAGTCTTGACAGTCAGGGACAAGAAAAACATCAGTAAAATAAGAGATATTTTGGATCTTTTTGGTCCCTGTGGTTAAAAAGGTAACCTTGTGAGGAGTTCTGTGGTGACAACAGATGGCAGCAGAACTGTACTCAAGAGTTGAATTTGCAGTGAGGAAGATGCCGGTATGTCTGCAGTAGGACCAGAAGAAGGCTGCTGTGTGCTTAAATACACTTTCCAAATCTGCTGTGAAAACCAGCCTTGAAGACACTTCAGCTTCTTTACTGACTCGTTTTCAGTATTAACATATTCTGCTTTTAGGGCATGCTGCTGTACATGCCCTGCAGAACCCATCTTCACTGCACCTGCCTTGCATACATATCCTCCTAAGGACTCATACACAATGCCTTCTTCCACCAGGGCTTCTCTTGACCTGCCTGGTCAGGCAGGCATTTCCAGAGTATTCCTTCTGACATTTTCACTAATTCAGTTCTAAGGTGTCAGAGTCCCTGCCCTACATATTGTGTCAGGAAACAGGCAGCTCAAATCAGGCCTGTCTGATAGAGTCCTGTACCAGAAGGCAGGTGGCCTCTGGAGATACAGGCACTGTTTTCACCCTCACAGAGAACAAACCAGCCAACTCATACACAGCCTCAGTATCTGTGTAGTTCTAATTTCAATTGTCAATCTGCAGCAGGTGCAAGTGTGGTTTGATACCTCCCACATGATATTTTCTGTTTCTTTCTGTCCAGAAGTACTATGGTGCTGTGGCAGCCAACAAGTGGAAAGAGAATGAAATTAAACATTTCTGCAAATACCATGGCAAGTCAGCAGAAAGAAAGACAGACTCCACAGAAGAAGAGGTAAGTAGGAACTTCTGGTTTTGATGAAAGGTTATTCCTCTCCCTTGCCGTGGGACACAGGTTATCCCCCTGATGTCTGTGACACTCACACTCATGTATGTAGGTTGACCTTATGGACATAAAAACACCTGGACTGATCCAAACCTGTGCTGGGTTGGGGGAAGGCAGAGTCACTTCTTGTGGCACCAATCAGTGTCCTATTCATCCTTTTGTGGAGGGGAAAATTTCATGCACCTAAAGCATCCCCTCTCTTGGCCTGGATTTGCCTTGTGTGCTGGATCATTAGAAAATAATTATATTTTTCTTTCCAGAGAACTGAAGGTTCCGTAGAACCCCGCCAAGCTCAAACTTGCTGTCAAAGAGTAAGTGTACAGAATACTTTGGTTTTAAGTGGAAGCATTTACTAGCATTTCTTTTATCATTTTGAATCAAGCTGGTTAAAAATTGTGACAGATCTGGAGACCTTGATGGCACAGAAGATTAACCAACAGTGCATTCACAATCATAATATGTGCACAGGCAGTCAAATGTGCATACAGAGACTTGCACAGTTAGTTAGGAACCAGATTGTGGCATTCTTGCACTTGGCCCTCCCACAGGCTCTCTGAAGACTCCTGTTACTCAAGGAGAAGAAAACTGTTTATTTTTCAAAGCCTAACACCTCAGCAAATCAACTTCAGGAACTTCTAAGCCACAAAAGATGAGAAACACTGAATCTGTACCACAGTATAAATTAGTGAGAGCACCCTTGATATAGGGAATGGGAATTCCCAGGTTTATGTTCAGAACTGTCTAGGTTGGTAAATTTCAGTTTTATAAGACATAAATTACAGCACAGTGATTACTTCCACTGATCAAAACATTAGCTGAAATACTTTGAGTATGGCATTTGCTAATTTTTGTACTGACAAAAACATTTTGAACTTTTGTTTGCACTGCCTTCTATATATTTAGAAAAATCTTAGTACATTTATACAGCAGCTGAAATATAAATTTTTTACCCAAACACAATATTTTTTTTTATCTTAAAGCCCAGAAGACCTTCCAAAGACTTCTACATTGAAGTTTCTCCTGGTGTCTATTCTGTCACAGCAATCTCAGAAGACATGGTGGAACAAACCCACGTAGTAGATGTCAATGCAGGACAAAGTATTGATTTAACTTTTGTTCTGTGATATTTGTTGTCTCCTGGCAATAGCAGGAATAAAACACAAGGCTCATTTTAAGGCATGTAATGAACTGTAAATATCTTTTTCTTGTTAGCACTTTAATAGTAGCTTCCTCTTTGGGACTCCATTTTTATGGCCTGTATATTTGTTTTCTGCTTAATGCAATTATATGCAGCCCACTTTGTACATTGATTTTTATAAATATTTGTACATTGTGTGCCTTTTAAATCTAATTATGTGACTGTAATTCCAGATTCTTCTGCTCTAAACAATTAAAGATACAATCAGTGGAATAAAATACATGATCAAGCCTTTGTGATGACAGCTTCTTTTGTATTATCCTCAGAGAGAACCTCCATGTCACAGTGTTGACCAGAGGAAGAATGACCCATGTGGTATGAATATGGATGCACATTACTTTCTGCAGGCTAGCACTGATTTTAGAGAAGCTGGCTCACCAGCCATTCTCCTATCTGTATTTTTGCTAGTCTGCTAAAGTGAAATACAAATGAAATTCACTACCTATAACCCCAGCTCAGAAATGTGCTGAAACATGTGTCAGGTGTTCAGTCTAGGCACGTGAGCTATTGATTCAAGTTCTGTCTCTTTGCAGGCTTTGCAGATCATACTAAACCCCTTTTCTGATGGCTCTAGGGTACCCTAAATTATCCAATTTAGTGCTAAGCAACTGCACACTGCAGCTTGGGGCCAAGTTCATATGCTTTAAACATGAGCTAACACTAACAGAACTCCCTGGATGCTTAACTTTCCCAAAGGACCAGATTCCATGTTTAGAATTAGTGATGTGATCTACATAAATCTGTCATCTTTTTGTGGCTGATAGTACTAAGGTTTCAGTTCATTTTCATCAGAAATAAAAATCAGTGGCTTGAATGCTAATCATTTTGTTGTTTGTATCTACAGTAGCAGGTCCTTTAGCCTCTGGCTACTTTTGCTTGTGCTTTAATCCTAAAAAAAATTCTTCCAGCTGCCAGCTTGTATTGTTTCTCTGTTCCTCCTGGCTTTCTACAAACAGAAACTGCTTTGCTGAATTTTTGTGCCTCACTCCAGAGAGCTGTAGACAAGTGGGAGGGCCTCTTGCTTTATTGGTCTCTTGCTGTGCATCTGTTCAGGTTTTAGTGCTCATACTAGTTCATCTGATCTCTCCAGAATTGTAAAGCCAATTCCAAAAAATTAGGAATTTATAGTAGCACTTTGGAGTAAAGAATGAGGATGCTTAAGTTTGATGTCAGTGAAAGAAGAGTTTCTCACTTATTAAAATTATATAGTCATCCATTAAGATATTCTACTGAAACAGTACCTAAATCAGAACTTGGTTGATTTAAAAGATATAACACTGATATAGTAGAAGCAGTTTACCTGAAATTTCAGCCCCTGAACTTGATCAGTTGTACATGTACTGAATTCTGGCTGACCAGACAAAACTGACTCTCAGTTTTGTTGCAAGTGAGCTCTGACAGGGTCTGTAACATCAGGTTTGTCATCTCCAACACAAGTCACTTTACATTTATCATCTGATGCTGCTTTATATCTTTGTTTTTCTGATGCTGCAAAGCCTTCTTCCTGGAGGACAGAAAACAAATCCCTCAGAAGTCTGGTCTAAAAAAAGCATCAGTGTCTTTGTTAACTGCTGCTTTGCTGGCTGTACCTCTGCCTCACATATCTTTTTTAGTCTATTTTCTGTGCTAGTACAGAAAACAGACTTTAAAACTTTACTGTTGAAACACACAATTTCACAAAACAAAAGGATTTTCAGAAGCTGTTAGGGCTTGATTAAAAACTTTCCTACTTCAGAAATCAGGAGGATTTTGTTGACTGCAGTGAGGGGACATCAGCCCCGCAGAGAGTACCTCTGGGAAGCCGGTCCTCTAACTCCGCTTGTTTGCTGCAAGCCAATTCTGATGCGGCCTGTATCATGTGATAAAACTGCTTCAGCTATCTCAGAGTAGCAATGGATCTGCTGGGTTTAAAATCACCAAGGGCTATTTTGCAGGAACGAAATTCTGTCATTATGCCCTGTATTACCATGTTGCATCCACTTCTGTGATTCGTGCTGCTGCTTTGGGGCTGCAGTGAAACAATTCTGTTTTCTTATTAGTTTTACCAAAAGGCAACTCATGTCACTTCAGTGCACAGCCACAGAGCATGCCTGCCTGGAGCTCCATACTGGCCTGAAAAATCCTAGGAAATCAATTACAAAGGTGTGTAGTTATGTAACTATGATTATTTTAGCAATAAAGTAGAATAGAAATAGAAAGTAGGAGCCATACAGTTGAAAAGCTGGCATCTGCTTAAAATAAATGAGTACAATTGTGAGAATACAAGATGTATTCCTATATTCTCCATTCACTGAGACATGTTATTAATGGATTCATCTCTAAACATGCAAGTTTAGAACATTTCAAGTTTTACTTTGAAGTCAGCTCACAGTAGCAAGAGCATGAAGGTACAGAGAAGCTAATATTTGATTTCACGTATATAATTTACTAAATGTACCCTGATGCTCTTGTGCAGAGCACTGTTTCTGTTGATCTTGACATTCTCTTTCATCTTCCCCTTCTACCTGTAAGTTGTTTTCCTCCTCATTTCTGTGTTTGCTTCTTTTAGCATTCATGTTCTGAATTTTTTTTTTTTTTCAAGTGTGAGAGAAACCAGGCCTACAAACCAGGGTAGTGGTGGTTCTCCTAGCTGTGACACAGTTTACTTACTCTATCCCCCAGCTTCACAGTAGGAATCTGCTGTTTAAACTGTCTGCCTCTAGTGAAGAAGAGAAGAAAGTCAGCAAAGACTCTTTACTAAAGAATCTGCTTTTATCTCTCAGAGGCAGAGATTGTGACTATCGCAGTTTGATTAGCAGAGCACAGCACTTTTGCATGGATTAACATAGGGCTTCATTGGGTAGATGTCAATGGGCATTTGGCAGGTTTCTGAACTGAAATCTGAATTATTTAATGCTCACATGGCTACTGACAATTGCTTCCAATTTACCAAGTAGCTTCAGCCCTTCCTTAAGGCTTAGGGATTTTTGGTTTCATTAGTGGAGAACTTTCCTACCTGTCACAAAACTGGTGGATGGCCTTAGGAAGCAGTTAATTTACAAACAATGTTGTTTTCTTGCCAGGTTCCAAACAGTTTACAAGAATATTTTTTTCACTCATACAAGCCTCCTGCTTACATAACTGCAGTATTAATACAGATTACCTTACCCTCAATGATGGCTTGAAATCTTGCTCTCTTAGGATTTCTTTCAGTGTGAGTTGCCCTCTGGGGGTCTGCTTAATGCTTTCAAACATTGCACTCTGCTGAGCTGGGGCCACACTGGATGTGCCCCCAGGGGACACGGCTTTGGATTCCAGCTGGCCCTTTGTACATGTGCTGCTACAGCTTCCAGGTCCTGGGAAGAAGCAAAATCGTATCTAAGAGTGAAACCAGAACTGAAATAGAGACACATTCATTTCAGAAGAGAGAAAAATGCACTTTAAGCCTAAAAGGAATATTTTTGGATCATTCTGAATGGGAGCTGTGCAGGTTAATGAAGATGTTAGCATCATAAAAGGCATAGGAAAATGACAGGAAGCAGAGAGGGGTATCTGTGCTTCCAAATTAAATTAATTGTTCTGGTAGTTTTCCACGGCAGGAATTGCCAAAGGAGGAGGCAGATGAGGCAGCAGAAACATTGGGGAGAAGAAGAATTGGATCAGTCTGATATGCAAATTCACAGTATTAATTCAAATAACTTGCAGGCAAAGTGACTGCCCTGCCCAGAAGACTTTTTTGTTCCCTCTGACAACTGCTTCCCTGTGGGGTTGTTTGAAGGTACCTGAATTACTGGAATGGGACTTTTGGTGGCTTCTTTTCCAGTACTTCCCCTCAGGTCTTGCAGAATCCTTTAGCCTGGGCTTTTCAAGACAGCTGGAGCCTGGGTTAACAGCACTGTCCCCCACAGTACTCTTAGTGAGGGATGGCTTCAGATCCCACTCTGAATCAGAAGAGGGAGAACATGTTGCCACAGCTGCAGCTTCTCCTTGTTTTGTGCCTTTCAGTACTAGAAGGCCTGGAGAGAGCTCACTGCTGGACTCTGCCTCTTCAGCTTTGTCCTGAAAGACCAGAGACCTGGAGGGAAGAGGCCACCAGGCACCAGCACAGGGATGGCAGCAGCAGATGCTCCTTACCCAGGCTGATGAACAGCAGATCCCACCAGCACAGCGCTGGTGGAAATGTGGCCAGCAGGGAGAGCAGAGCAAGCAGTGCTTGGCAAGGCTACATACAGCACAAGCAGGAATCAGGGCTGGCTTAGGACTGCAGGGAAAAATACAAGAGTTAGTGTCCTGGCTTGGTCTGGGCTTCACCCTGCTGGTGAAGGGCATGTGGATCATCTCCACAATCCTCTCCCACAGGCTAGGAGGGATCCACAGAGCCACACCACAGGGGAGTTTCACTTGCTTGTCATTCCAGAACTGGACAACAATTTCTTCATCTTCTGAGGCTGTTAAGAGAAAAAGTAAGCAGCCTTAAGCAGCTGGCCTGCCTGGGCAGTGCACACTGGCAGATCAGGCTCTGCAGCTTTATACACTTTCTACTCCTGTCAAGAGGCAGGATCAACTCTTGCCCCTCTCTAACACCTCACCACAGGGTCACAGAGGTGAGTGGGCAGCCTGGGCACCATCACTAAAACAACAGGCCTGGAAGCATCTTTCCTCCCAGTCTGTCATCAGATGAACAAGAAAACGACGACAGTAATTTTTGTTGTTGCTGCCAAAGTTAGCAGTGATGCTCTGAGAATAGTATTTTTTAAGTCAGTGGAGCTTGACTGTCAGACACAGGAAAAATGAATGAGCTGTTGAAATCTCCTACGTCTGGGTGATAAAATCACCCCCAGATGTACCATTTGGTACAAATGTGAGCATTTAAGCTCTGATGAATGCTTCCTGGAAGCTGTCTCACTTGTATCTGTCATGAAAAGGCCACAGTCCTGCACATGGCAAACACAGCCTTGCCCCAGCTACACCCACGGACACAGATGACTTCATTTTTATGGGTCACAACTTCCTTAGGGTCACACTGGTGAGGTTACACACAGATATCCATCAGCTCCTGCAGGCTTGGAGCAGCACTAAGCTGTAGGCTGTGGTCTGTTATTTCTCTGGCAGCAGCACCCTGACAAGAGTTTATCCTGACAGCCTCCCTGGTGTGCCAGAGGAACAAGAGGAGGAAGAGAGCAGCTCTTTTCTTACCTCGTAAGGGATCCCTTGTCTCAATGCCCCTGAGGACAGTTCCTGGGCCGTACCTGGCCCTGTCTGGCTCCCAGGGTGCCAGCACTCTGTCTCCAGGGAGCAAGGAGTGCTTCATCCCATTCACATATTCCAGGATGTCATCCTTTGCTGTTTTTTGCACACTCACTGGATGCCTTCCACGTGACACAAGTGGTTTGGCAAACTCTACCAGGAACATGCCTCGTTCACCCTGTTACCAGGAAGAAAATAACAATTCCACTGAAAAACAGTCCATAATGTGCCAGGTAATGCAACTTTTGTTAGAAGGCCATCCTGTGCCTATATGAGTAGGGCAAAACAAGCCTGAACAGCAGCTAGTGTGTGGCGTTACTTCAGCATTGAGACAGCCCAAAAAACCTCCATGAGCCTCACCTGAAAGCAAGATGAGTGAAGCATATGTTCAGATTCACTGCTATCTGGATTTCCTTTCCCAAGAGAAAAAGCTACAGGCAAGTGTATTTCACAAACCATGCTGTGTGTGCCAAGGAACAAGGGACACTGACACCATTCAGACCTGCTCTTCAGTCATGCTCAATTCCTTCCTCATTACATACAACACGAACTCTGCTTCTTGGGAGGGGATTGTTGGGAGTTTTTATTTTCTTTTATATTAAGGCCTGTCAAGAGACTTTCCATCAACAATGAGACATACTTCCCTGTTCTTGAGAAAGAACAGGCTCTTTTTTGTGTTCAGTTTGAAGTGCCAACAAACCAATGAATTAAAGCTCTCACTAACCTTTCTGGAAAGACCCCGAGCCATTGGTCTGTGGCTGACTCAAGCTGGATGTGTGTACATAAAACACAAACCCTTTTCCTGTGCTGTTCATGGTTCTGTGTCTACACACAACAGCAGCCCCTACACTGCTGGCAGCAGCACTCAGGCTGGCTGAGCCTGGCTCAGTGCCCAGCACCAGCACAAGGCTGCTCAAGCACCTGCTGTCCTGGTGGTCTGTTCTCTCATCTCATCAGCTGAACCAGAAAGTGCTACACTGAACTCAGGTGGTGTGTGAGGACTGCTCCCTATTACACATCCCCCCAACAACCACACATCACTCACCTCTATCTCCTCTTTTACTGTGCCATGGTAATAAAACCCATCTTGCTCCCCTCTAGCCAGCACAGGCACGTTGCTGTCTGTGCCTTCTGACTGTCCCAGTCTCTTCCATGCTGGGCCAGGGGAGGGGACGCAGTGGCTGATCCACGGGCACCTCCAAGAAAAGAAAATGGGTCAGCCCTGGAAGAAATAGATTCTGTAGGTCATGAAAAAAAAACAACCTTGTAAGATTTAAGAACTGGAACACTCCACCTCATTCTGTAGCACTCCCACAGGCCAAATAGTGTAGGAAGAAACAGAAAACTTGCTTGTGCTGGGATAATTCCTTGATCTTGGGAAAAATACATCAGTGCCTGCTTTTACTCAGATTTCTTTCGGGCTTACAGGAAGTGAGCCAGGAGCATGATGGAATCCTGGGCCAGCATTACTTGCCCCAGCCCCTTTGCTGTTTACCTAGCAAGACAATGCAACCCTTGGAATCAGGAGAAAATATCCTGATCTGCAGCACAGAGCACGGCATAGGTGCACTCCAGAGTCCTGAGCTGGTGGCTCACACTGGAGCATTCAGGGAACAGCAAAGGAGAGAAGTAAACAACAAAGCTGCTGCTTGATGACACGTTCTAGCTCAAAACTGGGAAAATAATCCCCTGTCACAAAGCATTAGAAACATTTCATGGAAGATGACTGTTAATGCAAGATGCTTTTATTTATCCCAGTAATATTAAAGGAATGCTTCTTTGATAGAAGGCTTACTCAGGCTTTGCTCTTCATAATCGCCAAGGTAGCAAATAACTTTAGTTAATACATCTCAAAAACAGCCAGTGCAGGCATGGGAAAGCTCAAATGATGTTCAAGCTGTTAATTATTAATCTGACACACCAGCCTGGTTTATGCTATTAGATATCATGGAAAAAAACAAACCGCAGACTTAAACAGGAACTTGATTTTACCTCTGGGGGGCGAGGGGCTCAGCAATCCAGGCAGGATACACAAGAAAAGAGCTCCTGCAGCAGGGGTTAACTGTGGATATGACAGTGGAACATGAAAACTTGTTCAAAGCTGGCCTCACACTGCAATACCTGGGACCCCCAGACAGGCACCCTTCCAAAGCAGCCATGCTTGGAAAAGCTGCTGCCTGCAGGACTCAGTCGTGATCTGTGGGAAGAAAAGAGGCAACGTACTGGTATCTCTAACACAAGCAAGTGCTGCCTCAAGAATCCAGTGATTTTGATTAACTGTTTGTTTTTGTTTAAAAACACTGAATTAAAAATATTCAAACTGGCATTTGGCCAGATGAGCCTACATCACTGACTTCAGTGATCTTCACTCACCCAAATCCTAACCTAGAAAAAGGGTAGAAACACCCAAGGAAACTCTAAATGCTGTGAAAATCCTCAGGAAAATAATAACTTTCATCTCCCTCCAATATTTGTTTCCTTCTGTAACACCCAAGTCTCTTTTTTTGTACCTACATTCTTCCTTTAAAGCTTTCTTGTACACAAACCCAGCCAAACCTTCCCTGTTTTACAAGTTGAGACAGAAATTAGAGCTGAAGTTGACAAGCTGAGTAAATGTGACAGGTTTTGAACTTAATGTTAGATTATATTTCCCTGTTATTTATTTATAGTGATGTATTAAGAGGAAATATTTTGATCTTTCAGCTGTCCTGTCATGTTTTATTAACAGTAGGATTATGGCTTGCAATGAGAAAGAAAGAGATGCTCAGATGTGACAAGTGATAACTATTCAGAGGCTGTCACAGTAAGATCAATGATATGATGCTATCTCTGGTAATTTCAAAAGATGTAGTAGGCAAGCTTCCATTAATTTTTTTCTTTTTAAATATTGCTTAGAAACACTCAGAAAAAAAATTTGCATGGAAATTCAACAACCTATAAAATTTAAGTGCTTAATTTATTTTACAAAATGCAGTTTAAGCACTCATGTTTAGATGATATTTTGTCTCTTATCTAAGAAATATGATCTGGAGGTCTTTTTTTATGGAGACTCCCAGACAGATACATAACTTCAGAAAACCAGCACAGCAAACCCAATAAGAAGAGTGGATTAAATGCTGCAAAATTCGTATTTAAGTCAGAAAATCAGCACAATATATCCACTTATTTCACAACTGCACAAACTCCTGTTATAAACCAAAACAAGATGGAATCAGTAATACTTTGCAAAGAAAGGCGACTATCACTTCTACATTAAAGCACATCAGCTCAGAGTAGGGACCCCTGTTTTCACAAAAAAAACAGTGCATTGACAAAGGCAATTATGCTGCTTTTCTTGGATACTTTCCAAGTACATTGGCACAGCAGTATTTTAGACTTACCAGCTATTGGTAACAATACACCCAGTCCAATTGGATTTAGTCTGAATGCAGAAATCTCATCCTTTTGCCTGTTGGACACAGGGAGCCTTTTGCTGCCAGTGTTTCCCAGTTGCTATGGAGGCTGCCAGAGCTGTTTCTCCCAGGATTGGACATCCTGACCTCACTGGTTAAAACCCAGCAGAACCTGACTTTGAATGCCACACATTTGCTCAATTTTCCACTCCCCATGGATCTTCTGCACTGCAGGACTGCAGGGGCAGGAAAGACATTTTAAGAGAGCTCAGTGTCCTCTAGGCTTCTGCCTATGATTGCAGGGCAAAAAACAGCACCAGTTACAGTCTGGATTAAGGAAAATTTAAAAAAGCTTACCACCACAGGGTGTGACAAATAACTATGTTTGAAACGTGCACAGAAAGGTTAAAGCTGAGACAAACCAAGGTCAAATCACTTTACAACTTTCTCCTTTTACAGTAAGGGGGAAGGATTAATGAATTCTACCCCTTCCTTACAAAGGGGCCTATCAAAAATATGCCATAGTATAATGCAGAAATCTACTGTTAATCTCTGCTGAGATCCCTAATTTTCACATCCTCTTTAAAAGAAAGACAAAGAGTTGACATTTGTTGATGTTTTGCTTGGTTGGTTTTGTTTGTGATTTTTGGGGAGGGAGGAGGTGCTTGGAACACCTAATTGCCTTTTTTAAGGCATGTTTCAATTCACTGCTATAAAAACAATGTAACAGAGTGGGACAACTGCAGTTAAGGAGAAGGATACACCGCTTCTCCCTAGTCTGTAACCATTTTTTTGTACATTCTGCAGCACAGCCAGCCCACAAGCCCTCATGCTGTCAGCAGAATTATTTAGTATCAGTGATTCCCTTACACAGAATAAACATTCAGACACTTTACCGGTTATGAGCTAAACTCTCTTTATCATCTTCACACAGTGCAATCTTATAACACTTAAATAAAACCAGCAGCATTACAGAGAACAGACTGCGAGGCTGGGCAAGACCACTTCAGACCTCAGCCATTATCAGTCAAAGTCCCAAAAAATTTCTATTGCAGAATTATTTTTATGCCAAGAATGGCCAAAACCTTGCCAGCCCTCTTTACACTGTGTATTATGTAAGCAGTCCTAGCAATTTTTAAGGGCACTGATATTTGTATAAGAATCCAATTTTCAAGAGAAATGATGCAATGTCAAAAGTTTTTAATGTGCTTAAAATATTCACTAATAAGAAAATTATGGAAGAGAGCTTGCAAAACTTTATGGTCTTTCTATGTTCAGTAACTATGCTTCAGAGAGCTCCTACCCTACTCTATTTTTCTCCATTTTAAACTAAATTATCCTCCCTTTCGGCATCTAACAACGCTCCTTGGAAGCTTTAAAAAGGTATTTTAAAAGGAACACTGGCAATTAAATGGAATATTTTAAGAAAGTGCATGTGAGAGCAAACCAATAACATTATAGAAAATGAGAAGAATCTCAGTCCCATAAGTAGAAAGATTTTATTTTAAAGCATGCAGGTTGGGATGATACATACAGTTACTTCACACATATAGGTGTTACATTTTTAGCTTGGTGACAAATTTAGAAATGCGTTCTGATTTTCATGAATTAACTTAGGTCATTCAACTGAGATTTCCCCAGCTGCCTTTCTCATACCTAAGTGTAGTTACTATCTGCAACATTACAGCTCTGGTGTGGGCTGACAGTGACGTGTGCCACGATCTGCTCCGAAGAAGTGCCAGGAACACACACGTCATTAACACAGTGGCTACTACATTCCCAGACAGGATACCTTTGGCTGCCTCTGGAACACTTTAGATTGCCTTCAAAAACTGGGTTTGTTTGTTAGTGGCTTTAGGTGCTTGGTTTGGCTCCGTGACACCTTTTCCTGCCACCACAGAGTCAGTGCACAGCACAGACTGTAGGTACCTGATGTATTTTATAGCAGCACGGAGCGTCTCCACTTTGCTGAGACGTTTCTCCAAGTATTCCTTGGGCAGGTGGTGCCTCAGCTTGGCGTAGCCTTCATTGACACACTTAACACGCTGCCTTTCCCTCTCATTCCTCTTCCTGATGAAAGCTGACCCATAGGAGAACTCACTTTTGTGGAGACTGGAAGGGGGCATTTGGTAGGGAAAGGGGCAGGGCTCACTGTAGAAGGTCTCCGTGATGAGATGCTCCGACATGAAAGGAAGGAATGACAACTCTTCGGACAAAGGGACCTGGTTTGGTGCTTCTGGGTACATGTGAAACGTGACCAGGGGGTCTGCACAGAAAGGCCTTGCCAGCTGTATGTGCTGAGCCTCAGCACAGATGAGGCTACAGTAGCTTTTGCCATCCATCAGGTTCTGCATTTAGCCTGGAAAAACATAATTACAGAATACTTTAAACAACTCACACTGAACAGTATAAAAAAACCTCAGCTGAACTTATCAACACTTGGCCTTGCTGACATTTTCCAGAAGACATCTTTTAAATGCATTTGTGACATTTCAGAATGATGTTGGAAGACAACATCTCATTTGATTAGGACAAGAAAGTGCAAGTCAGTCACACCGATTAAATTAGTACACAACAGATATTAATAAAGCCACTGAAGTTTCCTAAAGGAAAGAGCAAGCAGTCTTCCTTCACCTCAGCTTTAGAAATTAAGAGACTCTACCTATATGTATTCCACATAGGTCTAGTTCGTCAAGCTTGTTCCAGCTCCACCAAAACTTACATGTATAAAGACAGCTTTATACATCTTTATACACCTGAGGCATACTCCCCACCCCTTCCCCTCCCTGAAAAAAACTGAATCTACAATTCCAGTAAAAGACTCCCTATTCCTACACCAAAGAGCCCTCAAAGACAAGCTATTTTTCTCTCTATTCACTTGATGTCACATTCAATATATCATGTCAACAAAATTGAAAACTTATGCAGAAAATGGATCTCAGTTCCACCTCTGTCAGGTATTATGTCCACTCATACAAAGATTTACAAGAAGTTTAGAGAGACAAGACAATTTCCACTAAATCTAACATCTCCTTGGGTCCTCACATTCCTTCTACACTTACCTTCAGATTAATCACAGACATGAAATACTAAAAACAATCCTACTGCTAGAGGGTTATGAAATAAACAATTCATTAAAGGAAAAACACATGTTCTAGTAATACAAAGAAGAGATGGCACACAGTTCTTGGGGCCCTGCTGGAAACCTGCAAGTCAGACTGGCCTATCTTCATACCCTCTCCTCAGAGCAGCATTACTGCAGGTGTAACCACTCAAATCACCCTGGTAAGTTTATTACAGATACCCTTGCAGTGTTTTATAAGAAACTGCATTATAGTGCCTTCCCAATATCATTATTCAAACAGCTACACATCAGCCTAAATGCTGAGAATGTAATGATTGTTACCTAACAGCTGCTTTAAATACATTTGAAATAACCAGTTAATTTTTAAAGAATCACTGTGAGCCACCCTCACAGACTGGAATCAATACTTGCCTGCACAGAATTGATTAAAAAATGCTCTTACTCACCATCCACTTGTACATCCATCCATTGCTGTCTAAAGCACTTAGGTTCTATTGCATCCTCTAAAATGGAAACCACACCTGAACATTTAGGTTAGGTGACTAGAAACTGCTGGATTCCACACTCAGAAATCTGGCAAAGCTTCAAATGTTCCAATCACAGTTCCATAACACAAATCCTTCACGAGGATATGGGGATACTGGAATGTTTTCTAATGATTTCATACCTACCACATTTATACAGAGAATATTTACGTGGTGTGGACTCGTTCTCACAACATATTCTATGAAAATGCCTCTGTATGCAGAGTTGTCTCTTTTTCTAATGCACGTAGATTGCACAACAGAAATCCTATTAATTCATTTATATAAAGAATTCATTTATAGCTGTTAGGCATGAGTGGGAGTCCCGTGAATCTTAAACAGGTACTTCTGTAGGTAGGCTAAAAGCATGAACACACATCCATTTCATACTAATATGCATGCAAAAAATTCAGAGGTGAATATACACTCCTCCTAAAATTAAAATAGTAGTCAGCTTTCCCATTTCTACTTATACAGGTTGGGCTGTTGCCTAAAAACTTTCAGCTGCTAACAGCTTAAAAACACTGAGGAACAAAAGTCTGCTACATAGCAAAAAATGATGGCATCACCCCAGAGCAAGAAACCAAAATCCCCCAAGAAGAGATACTTGCAGTATTTGTTGCTGTGTACTGACACTTCAGCTGTTTTATGCTATATAAAACAGTTACCTGCTGCCTCAACACCTGCACAGAGTGCAAAATGCAAGCGTTAGGAACATTTTCCTGTTAGACTAGAGACTCACCAATCTCCAGATCAAAGTAAAATCCAAGGAAACAAGACGTGCTGTCTTAAGAGTGATGAATACCTGAAAATATCTAAAGGATATTAAAAAAAAAAAGAAGTTATGTTCCATTTTTCTTACACCTTATTAAATATGAGATCACAATAAACAGGATTCATTAAAAAGCTATGAAAACATGTCAGTAAATAGCTGGTAGAAGTGATTTACAACATTGATATTCAGTGAAGATCTGTGGCTAGATAAAGCAACATGCAAGTCTCTTACCTGAATTATGTAGCTTGTTCCACTGAGTCAATGACTGCTGCAATTTATAGTCAATTGACAACATGCAAAGTAGCTTACAGTTAGATCTGCTCTTTTCTGGTTGGGCTTTTCCACCCACACCACAGCTATGATGGCAACAAAACTTGGCATTAAGGGCTAGAAATTTTGAAACTGCTATTGAACACATCCAGATTACCTGAAAAAGTAATCAGGAATGTGGTTTGTTCACTTCCTGTTTGCCTTCTGTTGCAGACTACAGTACAGTAATGAAAATACAAAGCAGTATTTTCATTTATTGGTATTTTGTACTCTTAATGTCTACATATAACAATCGGCTGGAATTTAGGTAAATATTCTCCATCAAGGCTAATTTCCAAACAAACTAATTTCCACAGCTTCATTTTAAACACAGAAAAACAGCATTTATTTAGAAATTTGTGATGGATTTCTCTCCCCTACCGGTGAGGGCATATATTATTAGTCAGCTTAATGCCTTTAAATTTAATCATTATATCTGTAATTTTGGGAAATTCTTTTAGTGTTGAGTGTAACATCATATAAAAGGTGAATGAGCCAACAGTAGCAACACAAGTTTTGCTTAGAAAGATAAACAGTATGGAGTCTATAATGCAATGTATACATGTACGTAGATGCTGCATACATCAGTATATAGCTGTCCATTTGTACAGGTGCAAGAAAATAGGACACCTATCTTCAAAATTCCCACCTTTTATAAGATTGACACTTAAGATATCTCATGGTTTGGCCCTTCTACCAAAGTATAACCAAATCCAAAAGAATCCAAAACTAAAACAGTTTAGCTTAAAACTCTAAGACACTGTAAGATCAGAAATACTTTTTCTTGCGAAAGATGTACATACATTCAGTCCTGCTTCTTGTGACTGTCATCCATCCAGGAAAGGAAGCTTCACTTTCTGCTGCCCCTGTGTGGGGCCACAGTGCTGTATCCAACTTCCCCCTTCCCAAACCAGACTCAGGCCTCACAGGGAAGGCAGCCACAACACAGAACAACTCCCAGGACTGGTAGACAGGGATTCAACAGATGATTCAACAATCAAGGCATGTATTTCACAAGCAGGTTGCATTCTTTTTCTTTAGTGGACCCTAAGTACATCAGTGTCACAACCACTAACCAAACACCTCCACCTGAACAACTTCCCATTCATTGGGGTGATGTTGAACACAAAAACTGAACCCAAGCCTGAATTTATTTTTCTTGACCTGTCAATCCTTGTGCAATTTTCATTTTTATTTTTTTTTAAATTTAAAACAAGAATTCTATGAATCCACCAATTCACCACCTGCTTTAAATCACTCTGGGTTAGCTCAGTTTTGGAAGTCTACAGGATTGACATGAAAATGAAGCTCTGTATTTGTCTATCCTCCAGGCATGGACTTGGCAAGCCAATACTGTCCCCTGAAACAGAGTATTCTTCCATGTACCACCTCTACCACCTCCTTCCACACCAGAAGGAGGAATTGAAAATTGTCACACAATAATGCAGCTACATATACACAGCTACATCTGAGTCAGGGATTAAAAACTTCTTTCAATTAACAATTTGATGAGACTTTCTTTACCTAATCACTGAACAAGTGCATATTTCTGCTCTGAAATGTTTTCAGAGAAGTACTTTTATAGATGGAATTTACATGCAGCATAATGAGGGAGAAAAATGATGACAAACTGATAATGCAGATCCTTTTTCAAAAATCAGTTTTATCTTTAATTGTTACATTCCAAAGGGGATATATGAAAGTTAGTCATCTAGCAACTGTATAACCTCTGCAGAGAGATGAGTACAGAGTCACAGATAAAAAAATACACCTAACTCCCAAGATGACGGGTGCTAGAGAAAGTATGTGCCTTACACCATCAATCCAGACAAATGCAGAAAGATTTTTATAATAAATATTTCATCATATACTAACTCCTGAGACTTTACCCATGAAAAGAAAGGGAAAGATTTTATAAGAGCTATCATACACCTACAATATATTAAGCTATTAAAGCAAAATAGAACAAAATGTCAACACTGTCTTGAATGTGCACTGCATTTGAATTTATCTACATCACAGTACTTGAAATATGCAGCTCCAGGAGTCAGTGTCCACTTATGTTTTGCCTTAAATCTGCAGACATCACTTGTCATACAAGCATCTTGAAAGTACGAGTGCAAGAAACCAAATGATGATCACAGCCAGCAGGGTTTCATTCTCTGAGACCAAAACTACACTGCAAGACTTCCATTTCCAATACCTAGCATCAATCAGCAGAAAATCCAAGTATATTTACAAAAGATCTTTACATAAAGTGATTAGTGAGTTGTAAGTAATTACGGTGTTCCCAGGTACTTTTTAACCACATAAATAGTAGAGAGAAATATATAGTTAAAAACCACCATAAAGTCACAACTGTAAATAATGTACCACAGTGGCAACCCAAGGTATCTTAGGGTTAGTTTTCTTTTCAGTTTTGTTAGTAAAAGCCATTTGAAAACTCAAAGATTTAAGCTTTTGGTTAACTAATCTGTTTAAACTGTTTCCACTCTAGTACATTCCTTCAAAGTTCAAATACTTTTATAATTTGCTTTTTTTAAATCAATAACAAATCGTTCAAGAAAGCTCTTCTGAATTGGCAGGATCAGGAAGACTTCTGTCAGCTCTTTCCATCAGTCCACACGCCTGGAGTTCCTTCCCTGAGCCCCACTTAGCTGA